TGGGTGGCAGTTCTACCACCCCACCTCTCGACGAGTTTTGTCCTCCCAGGACGTCACGTTTGACGAGTCGGTCCCCTACTACCGCCTCTTCCCCTACCGTACTCCGTCCCTCCCCCCGCCCCCGCTCTTCCTTCTACCAGGTCCCCCCCAGGTAGACCCCCTCCCCCCTCAGGGTCCCGCCCCTTAAGGTGTGTCCCAGGTAGACGCAGTCGAGCCTATTGAGGTCACTGGTGACTCTGGTGCTGCTGAGGGTGCTGAGCCTGGGAGTGCTGAGCCTGGGGGTGCTTGACCTGGGGGTGCGGAGCCTGGGGGTGCGGAGCCTGGGGGTGCTGAGCCTGGGGGTGCTACGTCTGAGGGTGCTGAGCCTGGGGGTGCTCCGTCTGGGGGTGCTGAGCCTGGGGGTGCTGAGCCGGGGGGTGCTGAGCCTGGGGGTGCTGAGCCGGGGGGTGCTACGCCTGGGGGTGCTGAGCCTGGGGGAGCTACGCCTGGGCGTGCTGAGCCTGGAGGTGCTCCGCCTGGAGGTTCTCCGGGTGCTTCGTCTCGCCGAGAGCCACTCTCTCCACAGGAGCTGCGCTAGTGGTTTGCCCGGCGCTGGCGCCGTTCTGCTGGTGCTGGAGGTTCTTCGGCTGCTGAGGGTGCTGCTGTCGCGGGTCCCGGAGGTGCTCGTACTGGGAGTACTGGAGCTGCTGGGCCTGCGGGTTCGACTGGAGCAGTTGCAGCCTACCTCCCCTTTGCCTGCTCCTTCTCCCTACACTGGTCCTACTGGAGGTCTTACTGAGCGTCGTGACCCTGCGTCTCGCCCTGCGTCGCCTGTCTGTGCTGCTCGCACTAGTGGTCGCGGTTCGCGTCAGCGTCCTCCTCCTGTCCCTGGCACGCACCGGATGTCTCTGCGTCCGTCCACTGCTCCTCTGCGTGCCCCTTTGCCTTCTCCTCCTGAGTACTCTCTTCCTGCTCTTGCCTACCCGGAGTCGGACTCTCTTCGTGCTGCCAGTCCGACTCCGGGTCACTGACGTCCGACTACTGTCGTCACTGACCCTTCTTTCGAGTCCACTGCTACGTCTGCCCTCGTTGCTGAGCTCATCGAATTTGCAGCTCGATGTCGCCTAGACTACGTTGCTAGTCTTGTCGCTGAGTCTGAGTCTGTCTGTCCTCCGTCCGTCGAGGGTGAGTGTGCCCTTGGCACGGACGTCCTTGAGGACAGGCAGGAGGAGTTCCATTGTCTGGCAGCTGCTTCACCTCATCTCGTGTTCGTACTGCTTACCCCTGAGGGAGACCCGGATGCACTTGACATCCCGACTCCGCGCTCTTACGCGGAGGCGATAGAGGGTCCCTACTCCTCTCAGTGGCAGGCAGCTATGGATGCAGAGATGGCTTCCTGGAAGTCCACAGGCACCTACGTTGACGCTGTCCCCCCTCCTGGGGCGAACATCGTCAGTGGCATGTGGATCTTCAGGGTGAAGCGGCCGCCGGGTTCTCCGCCTGTCTTCAAGGCGCGTTACATGGCTCGTGGCTTCAGTCAGCGGCAGGGAGTTGACTACTTTCAGACCTTCTCCCCCACCCCGAAGATGACCACTCTTTGGGTACTGCTGCAGGTTGCTGCTCACCGTGACTACGAGGTGCACTCTCTCGACTTCAGCACAGCTTTCTTGCAGGGCAGCCTGCACGAGGAGATCTGGCTGCGCCGCCCACCTGGCTTCACTGGGTCTTTCCCTCCTGGTACCCAGTGGAGTCTCCGGCGTCCAGTCTACGGTCTCCGCCAGGCGCCACGTGAGTGGCACGACACACTGAGGACTACGCTTGCGGCTCTTGGGTTTGCTCCTTCTACTGCCGACCCGTCGCTGTTTCTGCACACCGACACCTCTCTGCCGCCGTTCTACATCCTCGTGTACGTCGACGACTTGGTCTTTGCCGCAGCTGACACTGCTGGACTCGCCTACGTGAAGTCCAAGCTGCAGAAGAGACACACGTGCACTGACCTGGGTGAACTGCGCAACTACCTTGGCTTGCAGATCACCCGGGACAGAGCACGCCGCACCATTACCCTTACTCAGTCACACATGGTGCAGAAGGTCCTTCAGCGCTTCGGCTTCACGTACTCCTCGCCTCAGGCCACTCCTCTGCCTACTCGCCACTCGCTCTCAGCTCTGCCTTCGGATGAGTCCGTAGAGTCGAGTGGCCCGTACCCAGAGCTTGTTGGCTGCCTCATGTACCTGATGACCTGCACACGACCTGACCTTGCATACCCTCTTAGCATTCTTGCACGCTATGTTGCTCCTGGGAGACACCGACCAGAGCACATGGCTGCAGCGAAGAGGGTGTTGCGCTACTTGTGCAGTACATCGGGCATGGGGCTAGTGCTTGGAGGGCGGAGTCCAGTGGTCCTCACTGGGCACGCGGACGCTTCTTGGGCTGACGACCAGGCTACGCAGCGGTCGTCACAGGGTTACACCTTCAGCCTTGGTTCCGGCTCTGTTTTGTGGCGGGCTACTCGCTCGTCTTCTGTTCTCGGCTCCAGTTGTGAGGCTGAGATCTACGCCGGGGCCATGGCTGCACAAGAGCTTCGCTGGCTCACCTACCTGCTGACCGACCTTGGAGAGCCGCCTCGTTCTCCTCCAGTCCTGTACGTAGACAACAAGGCCATGCTGGCCTTGTGTCGAGAGCAGAGACTGGAGCACAGAACAAAGAACATTGCTCTTCGCTACTTCCTTGCTCGTGAGCTTCAGCAGCGTGGACAGTTGCGGCTTGCGTACGTGGCCTCTGAGGCCAACACTGCTGATGTGTTCACCAAGGCACTTGCGCCTTGTGATCATCAGCGCTTTTGCACTCAGCTGGGTCTTGTGCCTGTCTTGCCTCACTTGCTCACCTCTTGACCTTGCTTGTACTGTCATATATATATATACCTGCTCTTGCTTGTCTAGCTTTATATATATGTGTACACAGGCATGTGAACTGGCCTTGTGGGCATGACCTTGTGCTCAGACTGTGTGGTGACTTTGAGATCCACCCTGAGCTTGCTTTGCTTTGCTTTGCTTTGCTGGACTGGTCTTGTGACCCCTTGTTCTCCCCCACTTTGCCTATGGGGGTGTGTCAGAATGCTATATAGCTTATACATTTGTGTAGGCTATAGTGGGGTATCCCATAGGGGGTACAACCCAATTAGGGTTAGTACTTGTACTCACTCATTTCATAGTTCATTCATTATCGTTTCTATTTTCACACAAGGGAATCCCAACCAGATAGGGTTGGGATTAAAAATCTACACCCAACCTAGTAGAATATAGTACAAAGTGTTGACTGACTATTTCTAACATCCCCTGCCTGGACATATGTTACGCAAATTTACGCATACGTACGCCTACGTTTACATTTACGCGAAACATTACGATTACGTGGTTCCAAGAACGTACGGGCCCAACTTAGCCTGGTAGCACCTGGTTGCACTGCATCCCACCACAGCCACTGACTCACCGTGTGTCAGATCAACCCGCTTCATATCCCCCATGCCCGTCCCAATCATTACTGCACTGCACCCCTCCCAACCACCCTTGTTTCAGACAGCCGCAAGCGAGCGAATCGGCACGAACCCCAGAGAGCCGACAATATGGGTGAGGGGCTGCAGCAGCGGATCAACAAGACGTAGAGAGTTATCCAGACAGAGTTATCACGTGCTTCGGCGCCACCACACCATACGGGCTTGAGAGGGGCTGGGGAGGGATTTGAGTAGGGTTGGGTTTGAGAAAAGAAAGGGGGAAAGATCATGCAAAGGATTAAGTGAGGCAAGGGTGCTTCGGTGAAACCACATTGTATAGGCTAGTGGTTGGGGGGTAGTTCGTGAGGGAGGGAGTGGGGGAGGAGGTGGGATGGGCTGGTTTCGGGAAGGGGGATGAGTATGCACAGAATTTAGGCAGGCAAAGGTACTTCGGTGACACCATCTTGTACTGACTAGTGGTTCGAGGGCAGTTTGTAAGGGAGAAAGTGGGGTAGGAGGTGGGATAGGCTGGTTTTGGGGGGGTGTTGAGCATGCAGAGGATTGAGAGAAGGGATGCCGCCACACCGTACGTGAATGGGAGTCGCCAGCAATAGGTAGGGGGGTTGGGGAGTTTGGGAAGAGAAGGGAGGGTAGTGCGCAGAGGATCAAGGGAAGATAGAAGGAAGGTGTGCCTTTGAAAAATGAGAAAGGCAGTGCAAGGAAGGGAGAGGGAACCAAAGCAGCAAGAAGCACTTTGAAAACTGATAGAAGGGACAGTGCAACGTCACGGAGGGAGGCAGCGAGAGGCAAGTGCAGTGCACCCACCAGCTTGGCCTCCCATTTGAGTGTACCTGTCTCAAGGTCCCACATTGTCGGATCCAGTTCTTTCCAGCAGTGCGGAAATTCCCACTCAGGCGCGTTATTGATGGCAACACATGACGGGGTAGGGAGGAACGAAGACGAGGGGTTAGGGTGGGGAGAAAGAACGGAAAGACGATAATGGAAGATGAGAAGGGGCGAAACGCTGAGTGGAAGCAAGGAGACAAGAAGTCAGAACGAGGAAAGTATAAAAGCATGATGGAAGAGGGGGAATGCAGCGACATGAAGCGGCTTTCAGCAGCCAAGGACTGAAGGGAACCTGCGTGTAAGAAAGGCGGAAGGAGGGCACGAAGGGAATAGGAAGAAAGGGGAAGGAGGAGAGGAGCGGAGAGCACTGACTGACCCACGTACCTGTTAGAATATAGCATATGTCAGTTTATATTGGTGCTAGTGTTACACCCAATGTGGGTGTACACTTTGGACCAGGTTTGGTTGGGTACACCCCAAACCCACTCGACCGCACTTGGTTGGTTTATCCCAACCATTATTGGTACCTCCAATAATTGAAGGTCAGCCCAAAGTTGGTGACCACTCTTATTGGTCCACCAATAATGCTTTGGGTACCCCTCCAAGTCACCCTCACGTTTTTCTACTATATGTACCCACGTTTTTTCCTAATGACATCAACTCTTGAGTTCACTTCTTCACAACTATGGAATTCTTTCATGGTATCGAGCTGTGTTGGCTAACGCCTACTTCCCCCTCCCTAGGCACCTCCAGCCACCGTGCTGTCCTAGGTGATCCTTGGCCTAGTGCCACCTTTCCTCCGCGGCCTTTGTGGTACTCGTCCGCGTCGAGCAGCATTTCGCCCGTCACTTCCGCTCCCGCGGGCACTTCGCCCATCACTTCCGCTCCCGCGGGCACTTCGCCCGTCACTTCCGCTCCCGCGGGCATTTCGCCCGTCACTTCTGCTCCCGCGGGCATTTCGCCCGTCACTTCCGCTCCCGCGGGCCTTTCGCCCGTCACTTCCGCTCCCGCGGGCATTTCGCCCGTCAATTCTGCTCCCGCGGGCATTTCGCCCGTCAATTCCGCTCCCGCGGGCATTTCGCCTCCTCGCTTCCGCTCTCGCTTCCTCCTCCTAAGGGCCATCCAGCCCTCCTCCCCCTTCCCCCTCGCCTCCTCCTCCTAAGGGCCATCCAGCCCTCCTCCCCCTTCCCTTCCCCCTCGCCTCCTCCTCCTAAGGGCCATCCAGCCCTCCTCCCCCTTCCCCCTCGCCTCCTCCTCCTAAGGGCCATCCAGCCCTCCTCCCCCTTCCCCCTCGCCTCCTCCTCCTAAGGGCCATCCAGCCCTCCTCCCCCTTCCCTTCCCCCTCGCCTCCTCCTCCTAAGGGCCATCCAGCCCTCCTCCCCCTTCCCTTCCCCCTCGCCTCCTCCTCCTAACGGCCATCCAGCCCTCTTCCCCCTTCCCTTCCCCCTCGCCTCCTCCTCCTAAGGGCCATCCAGCCCTCCTCCCCCTTCCCTTCCCCCTCGCCTCCTCCTCCTAAGGGCCATCCAGCCCTCCTCCCCCTTCCCTTCCCCCTCGCCTCCTCCTCCTAAGGGCCATCCAGCCCTCCTCCCCCTTCCCTTCCCCCTCGCCTCCTCCTCCTAAGGGCCATCCAGCCCTCCTCCCCCTTCCACTCCCCCTCGCCTCCTCCTCCTTAGGGCCATCCAGCCCTCCTCCCCCTTCCCTTCCCCCTCGCCTCCTCCTCCTAAGGGCCATCCAGCCCTCCTCCCCCTTCCCTTCCCCCTCGCCTCCTCCTCCTAAGGGCCATCCAGCCCTCCTCCCCCTTCCCTTCCCCCTCGCCTTCTCCTCCTATGGGCCATCCAGCCCTCCTCCCCCTTCCCTTCCCCCTCGCCTCCTCCTCCTAAGGGCCATCCAGCCCTCCTCCCCCTTCCCTTCCCCCTCGCCTCCTCCTCCTAAGGGCCATCCAGCCCTCCTCCCCCTTCCCTTCCCCCTCGCCTCCTCCTCCTAAGGGCCATCCAGCCCTCCTCCCCCTTCCCTTCCCCCTCGCCTCCTCCTCCTAAGGGCCATCCAGCCCTCCTCCCCCTTCCCTTCCCCCTCGCCTCCTCCTCCTAAGGGCCATCCAGCCCTCCTCCCCCTTCCATTCCCCCTCGCCTCCTCCTCCTTAGGGCCATCCAGCCCTCCTCCCCCTTCCCTTCCCCCTCGCCTCCTCCTCCTAAGGGCCATCCAGCCCTCCTCCCCCTTCCCTTCCCCCTCGCCTCCTCCTCCTAAGGGCCATCCAGCCCTCCTCCCCCTTCCCTTCCCCCTCGCTTCCTCCTCCTAAGGGCCATCCAGCCCTCCTCCCCCTTCCCTTCCCCCTTGCCTCCTCCTCCTAAGGGCCATCCAGCCCTCCTCCCCCTTCCCTTCCCCCTCGCCTTCTCCTCCTAAGGGCCATCCAGCCCTCCTCCCCCTTCCCTTCCCCCTCGCCTCCTCCTCCTAAGGGCCATCCAGCCCTCCTCCCCCTTCCCCCTCGCCTCCTCCTCCTAAGGGCCATCCAGCCCTCCTCCCCCTTCCCCCTCGCCTCCTCCTCCTCAGGGCCTTCCAGCCCTCCTCCCCCCTTCCCCCTCGCTTCCTCCTCCTAAGAGCCGCCGCAGCCCTCCCGCTGCCGCCGCCGTTTCGTCGCCGCAGCCCTCCCGCTGCCGCCGCCGTCTCCCTTCGCCGCCGCAGCCCTCCCGCTGCCGCCGCCGTTTCCCTTCGCCGGCGCAGCCCTCCCGCTGCCGCCGCCGTGTGCCTTAGCCGCCGCGGCCCTCCCGCTGCCGCCATCGTCTCCCTTCACCGCCGCAGCACCTTCGGCTGGCTTGCAACCTCACCTGCAGCAGCCCCTCTCCCGGCTGGCGTGCGACCTCACCGCCGCAGCACCTTCGGCTGGCTTGCAACCTCTCGTGCAGCAGCCCCTCTCCCGGCTGGCGTGCGACCTCACCGCCGTAGCACCTTCGGCTGGCTTGCAACAGCATCCCCTCTCCCGGCTGGCGTGCGACCTCACCGCCGCAGCACCTTCGGCTGGCTTGCAACCTCACCTGCAGCAGCCCCTCTCCCGGCTGGCGTGCGACCTCACCGCCGCAGCACCTTCGGCTGGCTTGCAACCTCTCCTGCAGCAGCCCCTCTCCCGGCTGGCGTGCGACCTCACCGCCGTAGCACCTTCGGCTGGCTTGCAACAGCATCCCCTCTCCCGGCTGGCGTGCGACCTCACCGCCGCAGCACCTTCGGCTGGCTTGCAACCTCACCTGCAGCAGCCCCTCTCCCGGCTGGCGTGCGACCTCACCGCCGCAGCACCTTCGGCTGGCTTGCAACCTCATCTGCAGCAGCCCCTCTCCCGGCTGGCGTGCGACCTCACTGCCCCAGCACCGTCGGCTGGCTTGCAACCTCACCTGCAGCAGCCCCTCTCCCGGCTGGCGTGCGACCTCACCGCCCCAGCACCTTCAGCTGGCCTCCAACCTCCCCTTTCGCCCCTTTCTTCGGCTTCTTGGCCTGGCATCGCCTTCATCCTTCAAGGGTTGTGCACCATTATAAAGTTCTTATGCTAAGGGGTTGTGTTAGAATATAGCATGTCAGTTTATATTGGTGCTAGTGTTACACCCAATGTGGTAGTACACTTTGGACCAGGTTTGATTGGGTACACCCCAAACCCACTCGACCGCACTTGGTTGGTTTATCCCAACCATTATTGGTACCTCCAATAATTGAAGGTCAGCCCAAAGTTGGTGACCACTCTTATTGGTCCACCAATAATGCTTTGGGTACCCCTCCAAGTCACCCTCACGTTTTTCTACTATATGTACCCACGTTTTTTCCTAATGACATCAACTCTTGAGTTCACTTCTTCACAGCTATGGAATTGTTTCAGTACCCAGTTTGATTCGTCACACATTTTCACCTTGGCCTGAAAGACCACGGTGTTGTTAAAGAGGCCATTAAAGCCCAAGAATGGCAGTATCCTAGACCGAACCACTCACATCCGCGTGCACTAAACAAACAGCTGCTCATTTCTGCATATCACGTGACTTGAGACGGCGGAAAAGCAGAAAGAGAGGGGGGAGCTTCAGAGGAACTGATGCGTAAAAGTCATGAACTGCAGGATGAGAAGGAACTGAACTCAATCTACAAAAATCACACAGTATGTACAAAAATCAGGAAGCAAGTCAACCCATGTTGCTTACGCATCCATGACCATGACCTAACAGAATCGAGCTGCGCACAGCATCCCATGCCTTATATCCTTTATTCCCCACAATAACATGCTCAATCTCAACACCCTCATCCCTTGCATGCTCGTGTGCTGCCCACCCATACCTCTCCCCACTGACTTCGTCCAGTCAAATTGGTTGACCACAGTCAACACAAAGTCCATGCGCTTGGTCCAACTGGACGCAAGAATGGTGGCATTTGCCACGACAAGGAACAGCGACAAGCCCGACCTTCCAGAACCCCTCCCTTGCTTTCCCCACCCTGACCCGATGTGGGCTGGGCTGGGATGCTCCAGTTGCTGCTACCCTTGTTGCCCCTGCTGGTCCTTCCTCTGCCTCTGTTGTGACACCGCCAGCTACAGCCACATCTGTAAGCTTGCGTTTGGAGCCTGCAAACCCCGGAGGTAGGGAGGTAGGTGAGAAGCCAGAGGTAGGGAAGAATGAGGGGTGTGAAGTAGGAAACAGCAAGAAAGGGGAGCAGAGGAACCACTGGTAGGGACGAGCAAAATAGACAGTATGATTGAACCAAGGTGGGGAGAAGGGGGAAGGGAGGGGAGGGGGAGGGGGAGAGGGAGGGGGAGGGGGAGGGGGAGGGGGATGGGGAGGGTGCGGGGGCGGGGGAGGGGGAGGGGGAGGGGGCGGGGGCCGGGGAGGGGGAGGGGGAGGGGGCGGGGGCGGGGGAGGGGGAGGGGGCGGGGGCGGGGGGAGGTAAAAGGGCAGGTCGAGGACAACGGGAAATGGGAGGGGAGAGCGGAGGAAACTGAAGTCAATATAATTCAAACATAAATGACTTGCGCTTGGGATTAGTGCATCTGATCCTCACACCCTCTCCCATTTCCCCATTCACGATTCCGCCAGAACCTGCTGCAGCCACAATATGCACAGCAGCCCCAGCAGCCCAAACAGTCACAGCAGACTACACACCACAGCAACTCGCCTTCTGCAGCTGCTATGGCTTTTATGAATCCTGCGACTGCAGGAACTTCTGTGACTGCTTGGGCTGCTAGGGCTGTTGTGCATACTGTAGCTGCTGCAAGTGCCGGCAAATCGTGAATGGGGAAATAGGATAGGGAAGGTGTGAGGTTCAGAGTCAAAATCCCCGAAAAGCAAGTCATTGATGTGTGAAGTTTCCATGTTCTCCCCTCATCTTTGATTGTCCCCTTCGGGCAGGAAGGGGAGGAAGTTGAGTGGCTGCTTAAGGAACACTTGTGAGAGGGCAACAAAAGCCAGGAACAGACGTGCCTATCGTGTTGACTGAAAAAACTACACTGCTCATGGTAAGAAGCACAAGAAACTATGTTTGGTCAAAAAGCACCTAGCAGGGCAGCTGAGACATGCAGAGAGAAGAGAGGCAAGAAAGGGAGGAAGACAAAAGCAAAAAGCGTCAACAGCACAGCAATCAGAACGAAAAAGGTGTAGTTCTCGGTTATCCAGATATCTACTTCAGTTCAACCCTACTAGGAAGGGCATGTGGAAGAAGTGCAATTTTAAGACATCTCAAAACAACACCTCTTTCACATGGCTAGTTATTTTGAGACGTCTCAGAACTTCATTTCTCATTGTGTCTTGGTTATCTAGATATCTAACACAGTTCAGCCCTTTAACGAGGACCACAACCACAACCCAACTCTCACAACACCACAGGGTGTAAAAACAAATACGGTTTCGAATATAGTGTTTTATATGAATATTGAACGAATAGTAAGCAAGTTCGTACTCGGTCATATAGCCCTCTTCAACTGAATCCGAATACGGATCGAATAGATGGTTCACGAATACTGTTCAGAAACATGGTTCTATGACGAATACGAATACGAATACGGTTGTTGCCATACACACAGCCTTGGGCCAGGCCGTGGTTCAAAGTAGGCCGAAAGCACTGCTGGTGCTTTCATCACTGATGATCCGAGTGAAACACAAGACACTCAACTTTCAAAATCTAGTGGCATATGTGAAAGTAAGAGAACAGGAATGAATGACTAAGTCAGAGTTGGGTACAAATACAACCCTAGAAAGCTGTACCCCATATGTGCTACCCCACTATAGCCTACAAACATGCATCAGCTATAGTAATCTGACACACCCCCATAGGCAAAGTGGGGGAGAACAAGGGGTCACAAGACCAGTCAAGCAAAGCAAAGCAAGCTCAGGGTGGATCACAAAGTCACCACACAGTCCGAGCACAAGAGCAGGGCCAGAGGCCAGTTCACATGCAAGAGTACAGACACATATATATAAAGCTAGACAAGCAAGAGCAGGTATATATATATGTCACAGTACGAGTAAAGTCAAGAGGAGAGCAAGTGAGGCAAGACAGGCACAAGACCCAGCTGGGTGCAAAAACGCTGATGGTCACAAGGCGCGAGTGCCTTGGTGAACACATCAGCAGTGTTGGCCTCAGAGGCCACGTACGCAAGTCGCAACTGACCACGCTGCTGCAGCTCACGAGCAAGGAAGTAGCGGAGAGCAATGTGCTTCGTTCTGTGCTCCAAGCGCTGCTCTCGACACAAGGCCAGCATGGCCTTGTTGTCTACGTACAGCACTGGAGGAGAACGAGGCGGCTCTCCAAGGTCAGTCAGCAGGTAGGTGAGCCAGCGAAGCTCCTGTGCAGCCATGGCCCCGGCGTAGATCTCAGCCTCACAACTGGAGCCGAGAACCGAAGACGAGCGAGTAGACCGCCACGAGACAGAGCCGGAACCAAGACTGAAGGTGTAACCCTGTGACGACCGCTGCGTAGCCTGGTCGTCAGCCCAAGAAGCGTCCGCGTGGCCTGTAAGGACCACTGGACTCCGCCCTCCAAGCACTAGCCCCATGCCCGACGTACTGCACAGGTAGCGCAATACCCTCTTCGCTGCAGCCATGTGCTCTGGTCGGTGTCTCCCAGGAGCAACATAGCGTGCAAGAATGCTCAAAGGGCATGCAAGGTCAGGTCGTGTGCAGGTCATCAGATACATGAGGCAGCCAACAAGCTCTGCATACGGACCACTCGACTCTACGGACTCATCCGAAGGCAGAGCTGAGAGTGAGTGGCGAGTAGGCAGAGGAGTGGCCTGAGGCGAGGAGTACGTGAAGCCGAAGCGCTGAAGGACCTGCTGCACCATGTGTGACTGAGTCAAGGTAATGGTGCGGCGTGCTCTGTCCCGAGTGATCTGCAAGCCAAGGTAGCTGCGCAGTTCACCCAGGTCGGTGCACGTGTGTCTCTTCAGCAGCTCGGACTTCACGTAGGCGAGTCCAGCAGTGTCCGCTGTGGCAAAGACCAAGTCGTCGACGTACACGAGGATGTAGAACGGCGGTAGGGAAGTGTCGGTGCGCAGAAACAGCGACGGGTCAGCAGTAGAAGGAGCAAACCCAAGAGCCGCAAGTGTAGTCCTCAGTGTGTCGTGCCACTCACGCGGTGCCTGGCGGAGACCGTAGACTGGCCGTCGGAGGCTCCACTGGGTGCCAGGAGGGAAAGTCCCAGTGAAGCCAGGCGGACGGCGCAGCCAGATCTCCTCGTGCAGGCTACCCTGCAGGAACGCAGTGCTGAAGTCGAGAGAGTGAAGCTCGTAGTCGCGCTGAGCGGCTATGTGCAGCAGCACCCGAAGAGTAGTCATCTTCGGGGTGGGAGAGAAGGTCTGAAAGTAGTCAACTCCCTGCCGCTGACTGAAGCCACGAGCAACGTACCGCGCCTTGAAGACAGGTGGAGAGCCCGGCAGCCGCTTCACCCTGAAGATCCACATGCCACTGACGATGTTCGCCCCAGGAGGGGGAACCGCGTCAACGTAGGTGCCTGTGGACTTCCAGGAAGCCATCTCTGCATCCATAGCTGCCTGCCACTGAGAGGAGTAGGGACCCTCTACGGCCTCCGCGTAAGAACGCGGAGTCGGGATGTCTAGTGCATCCGGGTCTCCCTCAGGGGCAAGCAGTACAGACGCGAGATGAGGTGAAGCAGCCGCTAGACACTGTAACTCCTCCTGCCTGTCCTCTAGGACGTCCGTGCCAAGAGCACACTCACCCCCGACGGACGGAGGACAGACAGACGCAGACTCAGCAACAAGACTAGCAGCGTAGTCGAGACGACAGCGAGCAGCAAAGTCGATGAGCTCAGCGACAAGAGCAGACGCAGCAGTGGACTCAAAAGAGGGGTCAGTGACGACAGTAGCAAGCAGACGCGTGACAGTAGGACTGGCAGCACGAAGAGAGTCCGACTCAGGGTCGGCAAGCGCAGGAAGAGAGGACTCAGGAGGAGAAGGCAAAGGGGCACGCAGAGGAGCAGTGGACGGACGCAGAGACATCCGGTGCGTGCCAGGGACAGGAGGAGGACGCTGACGCGAACCGCGACCACTAGCGCGAGCAGCACG